ACTTTTGCCCATTATTGGTGATCTTACATGTCATCATTAAGGTGGTGTTTGACTGATTTATCCTCTGGAAAGCTACTTTTCCCATGTGTCATTAATAAGGGAAATAAGTAAACTGTGAGGTGATTATTTTAGGAATGTGCGAAAATGTTGTTCTCCAATTTTTGAACTGTTGAGGAAACTTGCCTGAAATAACTATTAAAATGTCATGACAAAGTGGATATTTTCTAATTTGATTCTGCATCATTCCCCTGCCATACTCTAATTATGTCTCTCTTACTCTTGTTTCTTACCTTCCTTCATTCCTTTATTTCTTCCTCTCTTCCTTCTTTTCTTTTGTCATTTCCCTATTTCCCTTTCTTTTGTGATTATCTCTATTTACTCATAGCCTCAAGGTGTTATACCCATTGTGATTCCAGTTTTATTTCCTTAAATTATATTAAGACAAACACTGTGTGGTAGTGTCTACTGCATGTGAGACACATTGTTGAGTGCTAGGCTAGTACACACACTTAAAAAAAAAATTCATAGTATTATGGGGGTATGAATGTTTTGGCTACATGAATTGCTTTTGTGTCATTTGAATCAAAGTTATAAGTGTGCCCATCACCAATATAACATGCATTGTACCCATTAAGTGTGAATTTACCCATCCCCTCGTTCCCCCTCCCACCTGCTTGGCTTCCATAAAAAAAAAAAAAAGGTGAACTAATACCCTTTGACACAACCTGGCTGAAATTGGAGACCATTCTTAGCGAAGCATCACAAAAACGGAAAAACAAAATATTGTATGTTCTAATATACCTACTTTGAAGAGTTGGTTTGAAGAGAGCATATAAAATGATTCCCTGTGCATAATAGTTACTAAGTATATATTATATGTCCTTTTGACATAGCTCCATCAATTTTTTAAGCACTTTCTTACTTTCTGACACTTTTTCACTTTGTGCTCTTTCTATCCTAGTCTTGTTATCAGTTATGTCTCCAAAAACTCTAGTTCTTCTTAATGGGAGTTGTATTTAGAAACCAAGAGGTGCTAGATTTAATGGTATATTTTTTTAACAGCAGCTTTGTGAGGACAAGTAGAAAATAAGGGAGAGTAGGGCATTCCTACAGTGCTGCTATTGTCATACCATGGATATTTTTAGGTCACAGGATTCTTTTTAGGTAGATACTGCTTATTCACAGGTGTGTTCAGTGTTAGGTGCATGAGCTCTGCAACAACATGGCATAAATTTTCTTTAAGCTCTGCCATTCTCTACCTTTGTGATTCACAGTAAGTTATTTTGTCTCCGTATGCCACTGCCTCTATCCCTTTATCTTTAAATAGGATATTATGCAGTATCTACCTCTTTGGGTTGTTAATTCAATTCTTTGTTTAACATATTTTTATTGAGCATCTGGTATGTAATAGATACTCATAGCTATGCATAAGACAGACAAATTCTATCTACGAAGCTTTCATTGTCATGGGAAAAATAGACTCCTCTCCCCTCCAAAACATGCACACAAGTAAAATCTATGTGCAGCTACTGATAGTTTCCAGAGAAACGAGAAACTGGCTCAAGGTGTGTAGCTGTCAGAAGGGTTAGTATTTTATGTAGACTAAGGGAAGAAATCCTCACTAATAATATTTGAACAGAGACATGAATCAGATTAGGGACTAAATCATGAAAACACCTAGAAAAAGAATATTCCAGACAAGGAGACAACAAATACACAGCCCCCAGAAAGAATAATGTCTAGAATAATTCAGAGCAAGCAGCCAGGTTGGTGGGACTGGACCAAGGAGAGGCATGGTTCAGTGGTAGGGATGAGGCCAGATCATGGAGGGTCTTTCAGGTCTTTATAAAAGATTGGACCCTGTGGGGACAGGAAACCATTGGAAGGTTTTGAGAATAGTAGTGACCCCATATAGCTTAAAGAGATTATTCTGGTATTGGGTTAGAAATAGACTGAAGGGGGCCTGATCAGGAAGAGATAGAGGAGTTAGGATCCTGGTAAGAGAACACAGAGGTGCAGCACAGATGGGGTGAGGCAGGGAGCAGAAGAAAGATGAACAGATTCTACATATGTTTGGAAGCTGAAGACCACAGGATTTGTTGATGGGTTAGATGTGGAGTGTAGGAGAATGAAAGAAATCAAGGGTGACCTCCAGTTTTGAACACTGTTGTTGAGACTTAGATAAAAATTACATAGTTAATTCATATAAAGCATTTAAAACAGTACCTGGCACATAATAAACACTCAATAAATAATAGAATTTTCATGATTTTAAGTGCCTGTCAGTTATTTTCCACTTTTCTTTTCTTTTATATATTTGCTTTAATGTTTTTGACTTTTGAATTTTAAATTGACTGCTACCTCAATGCTATTTCTCTTAAGTGCTAACCATCTAGCTATATAAATTTGAGTAATGCAGTAATCTTACTGCCAGTGCCTTGGACTGGAATCAACATATAGTTCACTTACTGTGTAGCTAGGGGCAAATCACTAATCTCTCGATTTCATCTCTTATGAAATGGATATGATGATATTTATATCCCAAGGCTATTATGAAAATTAAAGAATATCCAGATTCAAAAATGAAAGTCTCTACCAAGTATGAGTTATTGCAATTTTTATTGTTGCCTACACTCTAAGAAGGCTCTTTATGGTAATCCTAGCCAGTTAAAGACATGAAAGAAATGAATTTTAATGCATTATTCATTCACACTGAATTTTGTTTGGTAATATTTGAATGTTTTTATTGTCGAGATTTGTTTTTTTTATATTTCACAGTTTGGGATTTATTGCGACCTGAGCAGCTTTATCGAATCACTCTTTAAAAGATTGAATGAATTCAAATCTTCCAGTCAGGGTGAGTCTTGGGCCCAGGGTGTGTGAGAGAGGGGACAGTTTAAAACATCTGTCTAAAGCATTCAACTTAACAGTGCTCCATACTTTAGTGCATCTTAGATACCTTCAGAGTACAGTTATCGAGCACATTGTTAGGATTCCAATGCTCAGCAAGTATGGTGATTAATAATTACTGTAATTTAGAAAGCATTTCCTTTTTTGGTGGAAGCCTTGAAGACTTAAGAAGACTGAGGGACTGCAAGTGTGATTTTAAAAAATGATTTTATTTCAATTACTCTATTCTTATCGAGACTGAAGGTGGGAAAAACCCCTGTGTGTCTTTCCTAAGCTAGATAGGAATACATAACACCACCTGATATTAGTTCATCATTTTATATCATTTACCACTCATAGGCAGCTCTCCATTTTAAAGTAAAATTTCTCATTTTAAACTAAAAATCCTTATCCTCAACCATTGAGTTATGCTTCTTAGGAAGATATTATTATTCCTAATTTATAGAAAAGAGAATGAAGGCCAAGAAAGACTAAATCAAAGGATGATTTGTTTAATAAGTAAAAGAAGCAGAATACAACCTTGTTTTTCACCCTCTCATCTGTAGCTCCCATCTAAATTTCTGACCTAAGGTTTTTGCATTATGAAATGTTGGTTATTTGGGTATTAAAATTGTCTTAATTAGCAGAAAACAGGGTGATCTTTCAGTATTTACATTTCCTTGGAAATGTTCTATGGAGAAGTGAGGTTATATTTTTGTTTAATTTAGGGGCAAGACAGATATGGAATAATTTTATCATAGTGTTTTCAATAAGGGTTTGGTGGATACCCGTATATTTCGTTCAATGAGCACATGTGCTATCCATTTCAGCTCTATCGTGAATGACGTGTTATAAATGCAAGTGGAAGATTTCTGTGATTGTCACTGGAATTAATGCTCTTATTTGACCCATCTTAGAAGCACATAAGAAAGGCAGCATTTTAGGATTAGTCTTGATAAGAATAATTATTGCATTGGATAGGAAGCTTATAAGGTAATTTGAAAAATTTACTTGTAACTAACATGCAAATGTCTTTTAAAACCCTTTGATACTTATAAGCACCTTCATAATATGTGAAAAGTATTTAAAGTCACTTGAACTATTTAAGGGCATATAAATTGTTAGGCAGTATTGTGATTATATGATGAAACTGAATTTACATGTATACCCATAGTCATTTCAAAAGCCTTGTTAGGTATGAAATAGGTATGAAATATCTTAATAATCCTCCTCATTCCTTTCCATTGTCAATAGCACCCTGTGGCATTGCAGATGATTCTTAAATATAGTTGTAAGGAATATTCTTACTTTCTCTCACAGAGAGACCAGGAATAGGAATTGCTTTGGTAAGGTGAAAGAGGTTGTTGAAAACCAGCCTTGAAACGAACAAACAAACAAACAAAAAACCTTTCAGCCTATATTTATATTTTTCAAGACTTTATTATTAAATTCATATATAGTCTACTTGTTTACAAAGCTCTAAATAATCAAAATTTAAAACTATTTTATGATTAATTAAAGGAACAGAAACTGATTTTTAAAAAATGCTATAGCTAAAAAATCATTATTTTTTGAAGGTCACATGCTTAATGAGTAAGTCATATTACAGGGATCAATAAATCATTTTGGACTCAATGCAGACAAAAGTTTTTGTATTTGTAATTTGAATAAGATATTGGAAACACATTTGTCAGGGAAATTTGACCTTGCAAAAACACCAGACTAAGTCTCCAATGAAGAAAGACTGGCATTTTTATTCATAGGATTATAAAGGGAAAATTAAACCTTAATTTTACTTGATGCATTTCTGATGAGTGCGTGATTGGCACTTAAACTCTCTTTCCCTTATCATGACTTAATTAATACATGCAACTTTCTTTCCAGGGAAAGTAGTGAATAATAATTCATTGATGCTTCAAGCATTCACTTGTCACTTTCTTGAAAGTAATCTTCATGAACTTGTAGTATATTTTCCAAATTATTTTCCTTTCCATCTGTAGCATAGAATTTCATTTCTAACATTAAATTTTTCTCAAATGTAAATAAAAAACTCACAATGGATTTTATAAAAGTTTTATTTATGTAGCCAATGACATGCATTTATCCTATTAAAATTAAAATTATATATACTTTGAAATTTTTAGTGTATATTCCACAAATATTTTAATGTCTTAAAACATTTTTCTCACTGCTTTGAAAACGGGAAAGATATTTTATCAAGTATGTACTTGATATGATGTATCAGTGGTCATTACATTTTAATACATGTAATTTTTGTTTATCGCCTAAACTGGTGATTGTTAATCACAGATTTTAGAATCAAAGCTAGTTTATCTAATTAAGCAAAACTGCGGTTTCATTTACTTAATGCATTATCTTATTGATTATTTTCTTCTCCTATGTACTATGGTCTTTTCTTCTGTTCTTAGCCCCCAAAGCCTCCTTCACTTGGTTTATGGCCAATTCTATATCCTAGTTGGTGCCTGTATTTCAACCCAGAACCATGCTGGATCACAATGTTTGAACATTTGCAAGGCGTTAGTTATGTGCTGGATTACAGTTGTATCCTGGCCCACAGACTTGAATCTCCGGTTCCTAAAGTCAGAAAACATGGTATTTTAGTCCACATGGCAGAGCCAGCATTTGCTGTGCATGTTCAGAAGGCTGGCTTGCAGAAGACCTTAGAGTATTTATCATTTTATGGACATTGCAACAGTTTGTTTGTTATTCATATATATCTTCACTTAACTACCATCAGTGGTTCTGAAATGGTACATGAGTAAGTCTCCTGGAGTGCTTGTAAAAATATTGATCCTTGGCCAAACATTGTAATTCAGTAGCTATTGGTATGACCAGGGAGACTACAGTATTAATGACAATCCCAAGTGATTCTGAGGCATGTGGCCCCTGGCTTACAATCTTTATATATAATGGACTATTTAGAATGAGAAATTAAATAAATTAAGATACTGTAGTTAAGTCTGAACACCCGTTACTGCTCTTCTGTATGTAATTGCAGTTATAAGAATAGCTCCAGTTCCAATCTTGGATTTATTGTACTTGTATCTCTTGCACCCTTTCATTATTTGAAATTATTCATTCCTGTGAAGTACAAAAGATAGACGCCAATTTCAGATGAGTCAGAAGACAATTTACATGTTAAGTATAGTACTAGTTATTCCAAATTACTAAAACTAAAAAAAAAAAAAAAGTTAGACACAGAAGAGACTTTGTAGATAATTTATTCTAACTCCCTATTTCTAAATGTAACCAAAATTTCATCTTCTTAAAAGATTTATTCACAAAAGATAAGCTAGTTATTAGTATTATCACTAGTAGAAGACAGATTTCTTAAATCACAGTAAGAACTCTTCCGATTCCAGAAATATTTTTCCTATTTTACTATTCATGAGAATCACTGAAGTTACTTGTCAAAATGAATATTCTTGGGCTCAATCTCAGAAATAACTGCTCTGGAACCTGGTAAGCAAGGAGCTCAGACGTTTGTCTTTTTAGCATTCCTCAAGGGTGATTTGAATATAATTGGTCCAAGGAGCACATTTTGTGAAATAGGGTACACTATCTTGCTAGAAGGATTGAAAAATTAAATAAATAATTATTACTACGCTCAAATAATTAAAAGACAAGCCATTTAGCCGGGCTCTAAGACAGGCCCTGGGGGCTAATAGATAAAGTCCTTACCATTCAAGAAGCCCGTTGATTAGAGGTGGTGATTCATAATAAGCAAATCAAACACAGTGTGTTAGGTGATCTAGAGCACAGAGACAGGGACCTCCAGTAGTAGAAAGTGTCAGTAAAAGCCATCAGGAAAAACATCTCAGAGAATGTGACCCTGCTGGCAGGAGTAGATGAAGAAAGAGCACTTTAGGCAAGGAGAGTACCTGGTAGGGGGTGGGGAGAAAGAAAACAACACAAGCATCAACAACAAAATACCTAAACCATCACAGAATTGGAATGAGAGAAAGCATTCAGTAAATACTCATCGTTATTTGTATTACTTATTTCAACAGTGGGCTGAGAAAGGAGGAGAATCCCATGAAAGACATTAACAGGAGAAGGAGTGGGGGCCGCTGAAGCTTCAGACCAAGCAGTAAGCAAAAACTTAGGGTAGGTGATGTCTGTAGTTCCCTTTTATGTACTCACAGATGAATGAACGGTTTGTGGAAAGGTCAGCTTTTACAAAGGCCTGGGCCTTGGCCATCTGGGACACTGAAATTTCAAAGGAGGGATCATCAACAGTATCAAATATTGCAGAAAGGTCAAATGTGGATAAGAGCTGAGAACTCTCCATCAGATTTGATAGTTATTCATGCCATGATTCCTAACCACCTACTTTAGAATAATTTAGGAATGCTTATAAATATTCAAATCTCTACCTTCTAATTTAGGACTATTAAATTAGAATCTCTAGGGTATGTGGCTTAGGATCTCCTTTAAAAAAAGTAGGAGATTATTTTGCACACTGAAGCTTCAGAACCAGTGAAGGAGAGAGATATATTTCCATTTGTGGTAGGGCCGCAACCAACTCCAAAGTTTTAAATAGTACGGAGAAGAAGAGAAGTGCAGATAAAGCAAAATGTAGGCAAGGTTTGTCATGAAAGTAAGGCAGGAATTAGGATGATAACTAGGAAGGTAGGTCCACAGCCAAGCATCTGTGGTGGGCCTGGAGTTGCAGTTGGACAACAGGGCCATCAATCAGGAAAAAAGAGCTGTACATGTAGCAGAGGAGAATGTCAACGACCTAGAACCTAGTAGGCATCTCCGCATTTGTATATCACCATATTGGCCTGTGAAAAGATCTTCAGGGAGTTCTGACAAGTACTTCATTTCCACTTTATTTTATTTATTTATTTATTTATTTATTTATTTATTTATTTATTTATTTATTTATTTATTTATTTATTTTCCAGATTCTGTGGGTACAAATATTGTTAGGGTTACGTATCTTGCCCCTGCCCCTCTCCCCACCCCACTCTGCCAGAGCTTCAAGCATGTCCACTCTTCAAGTGGTGTGCCCTGCACCCACCATGAAAGTGCATACCCTTCCTCTTCTTCCCCCTTCCACCTGTTCACCTCCCATTAACACAGTTTTTTTTTTAGACATTTTGGTTACAGTGTGTTTCTTTGCCTCTCCCTAAAAAGGGATAGAGGTAATCCTTTCCCCCCTACAATGCTCATCACATCCTTAAGATGTGGATCTCCCCCACCCAGATCCCTTTGAACACTATAATCATTTCCACTTTCTACATTTTGTGGAAATTTCACATTTGACCAACTCTAACCTGAGTAACACAAGGAAAGGAATTCAAATTCCGGAACCCTGGTTTCCAGCTTAACCAAATTGACATAACACAATGCACCCATCACTCTCATTGCCAACTGTCTTCTTTATGTTTCATTTATGAGTTAGAAGTTTCCACATATGGTATGAATTGTACCTTGACAAGAACATAAGGAATGCCATGTGAATCATAATGGTGATTTACTGCTACTACTATTAAAAATAGCATTTATTGACTAATTAGGATCTTCCAAAAACTATGGAATCTGTTTACTCACAGCTTAATCTAATTTCATTTTCATAGAAACATGAGAGGTGACTAACATTATTTTTCTAGCATATCTTTCTGCTAAAAAAACACTTACTAGTTTTTTAGGCTAAGGAGTACAGCCAAACCACTGTCCTATTGAGTGTAAAACCATGATTTTGTTATTGGTGTGAATAGTGGTGAGAAGAATGTTCAGAGTCCAAATAGATATTTACACTCCTTCTTTTTCAGAGAGGATAGATTGCATCCTTTGATGTCAATAAATTAGACTTAGAGATCAACAGAAAGGCCGAAAAAGGTCACAGCTCACCAAAGAGTACTGGGAAATGTAGTAAGAATCTCACAGGACGGTAAGACTTGATAGGAGGTGAACTGTCTGCATTGTTGTACAGAGGAGAAGCAAGCCTTCTAATTTCTGTAACTAGTATGAGCCCTTTGTTTAAGGATAGAGAGGAAACCATGTCTAGCAAGACCTGTTCATTAGAGAACAAAAAGAATAAGGGAGGATTACCTTGAATGGAGTCACATTATCCTTTTTGAGGATATTATACAGATATAAAGCAACTACTTAAAAAATTATTTCACTCTTTATTTTCTAGCATATCCTGAGAGCCCATGCTTATTTGTGCATTGATAGCCTAGTGGTAATGTGCCAGGAAATTTATTCTTACACATCCTGTAAACTAGTACCTGTGTACACAAAGGGGAACATGGAGCTATGAACTTGAAGTTAAAAAACATGGGAGGAGTTGCTAGTTACAGGAACAAATGCTAAATATTAGGATGAGTTAGTATAAAAACAAAGTAAATTATTCTTTGTAAATGACGAATCTCCCATGTAGGAGAGAGATAATCTATACATATTAAGCATCAACGATAGACTCATTTTGGTTTATAATCATCAACATGTTCACAGTAGGAATCATAATCACCCCCCACCCCCTTTTCCAGAATAATAGTCTTTAGTATTATAAACACTGTGAAAATATCTTCCACCTTACCTTCCATCATTCCCAGAAAACATAACTACAAAATTAAGCTCTCTTTGCAAGTGTTTGCAAATCATCTGTAGGTGAGACATGGGGGATTTAAAAATAGAATAAAATTTTAGTCTCACAGGCAGTTGCTAAATTTTATGAGTGACGTTATATCTTTAACCTGTTATCGTGAACAGCTAATAAATAAATTTTATATTTAAAAATGTAAAGTTTATGCTATTTCCCTAACTATAAATGGTCACAGAGCATATAGAACATAACTTAAAGCAGTTTTCAGTTGTTTGTGCCATTATTTTGTATTTTTTTCCTACTAGCAATTTTTCTTGATTGTATTTACTGTTAAGATCAGTGAGTTTGAATCTCTCTAGTTTGTCAGTTTACTAAAAAAGTTCTTAAGAACTTGGGATGTATTCATATTCAAACATTCTAAAATTTTCCCTTCAATCCAATTGCATAAAGCAAAAACATTAAGGAAAAATTATGTAATGTACATTCAATCACAAAATTATTGTTTTTCTCCTGTGAAGTAGTCTTTTAAAAATTCTTTTTTGATTAGCTTCTTTCTCTGAACATGTTGATATTGATTGAATTGAGATATGGCTCACAGAAATCAATACATAAGAAGACAGGTTGTATGTGATGACAGTAATTCTATCTACCGGGTAACTGCCAAATGTCTGGGTACCAACGATTATATTAATATTTCTTCTAGCTAGTCAGCACTTGATAATTTGTCAGGAAGCCGGTTTGTTTTCTTTGACTTAAAATAATGTTTATTTTCTTCAAAATATACATTTTCCTTGTTATATCAATATTGCATGTGTCTAAGTCTAGAAAGCTTGAAAATGTTCATTTTTAAATTTCACTTCATTTTCTGCCTTTTCTTTAGATAACAGATGGTCTCAGATTTCTTAGGCAGTCTGGTATCCTATATTGTTTTATGTGGGAAGGTTCTTGTGGCAGATATAAGAACCATGCAGTGATTTCTAATGGAGAAATTTTTGCTTATGAAGGCTAAAGAAAACAAAGGAAAAAAAGAGTAGGAAAGTAGAAAAAAGAAATTTCTATAAGGGGCTAAAAATGAAGGGATAAGAGATAACATTTAGGGAATTTATAGAAAAACGTAAATGGGTAGAATTTAGAAATGCCTAACTACCCTCCATCCAGTAGAGCATAAACACCTGGGCATTTTCTTTACTCATTCCTTTGATTGATAGTATTAATTTTAGTGAAACACATTTTGTATGGGTAAGAAATTATAAACATCATAGTTGCAATAAAAACATCATACAAGACAGACATATTTGGGATTTTCAGCCAAAGGACAACTAAACTTTACTGTTATATCATAGGATTCTGCTTAGCTTGTGTCTCTTATTGCTCTGAAATTTGTAACATAAGCACACCATTTCTTTTATGAAAAGCAGAAATGGGATAAAGCAGACATGCCATACATGGAGGTAAATAGGGTATTTTTAAAAATTGCCCACTTCAGTTTTAATGTTTAGAACTGATAACATGTTATTCACTTAAATTACAAAATAAAGTTTAGATTTTTATGGTGTACTTGGCTATCCTTAATTAAAATTTAAATCTAATTATATTACTATATTGGCATTTATTTTTCACATCTGTTTTATGTTCTATTATGACTGAATATTTCACAAAATTAGAGTTATCAGTTTTGTTATCAAGGAGTGTTTTTTGTTATTAAATGTTTGGATATATATTAGTTCATTGATATTTCACTTTGAACAAGGAGATTTCTTTCAGAGACAGTTTCTTGCTTAAAATTTAACTAACATTTTCTTTTGTTTACATGAAAATCTATATTACTAATATTAATTAATTAAAAACCCTTGGGATATGTGCCTTCTGTCACATACTATTTTATCCAGATTTATCTAGGTGCCTTTGAAATAAAATTGATCCATGATTTGTTTCATTTGTGCTTCCAGTTTTCCTCATTTTGTTGCAGTCCTGGAAAGTGATTGTGGTTATAAGACGTTCACGATCATTTGCGAGAGTTTCACAGTTTCAAAAATCTCAAAAAATTCTAGTCATAGTGGAAGGTACTAGTATTATCCCCATTTTTCAGCAATGGAAACCCATGTGTAGTGTGTTTATAGTATTATGCATGGGACCACACTGCTCAGCAATGATGACATCTTAATATTTTGCATTCTGATGAATATTTCAAACCATCGTCTTTACTCCTGCTTATTGGCAAAATAAATCATAGTATAGATTCCGCTTTTTCTTTTATAGTTTCTAAGGCAATTTATAACTAGAGTGCATGGATGTTTGTAAGGGAAAAATGGAAGACAGTTAATTTTTAACTGATGACAAAATTTTTATACTTGAATTCCATTACTTTTAAGATTTCAATTGTATAGCTTAGGGATTGTCCATAGAAGCAAGAAGGCCAGGAAAAATTCTTGTTCCTGTTAAAACTTTTCCATCCAATAAAAGGTTCTTTGGATGGGCTCTTCAGCCATTACTTACACCATAGGATTGGAGTCTATGCTACCCCTGCATGCCAA